ACTTGGAAAACGTTGATTAATGGCTTATGTGTCAACTCGCCAATCTAAAAACTCGTCCATTGGCGAGTTTACCACTTATAATTTCTTTGATGGTTAACTCGCCATAAGTTTTAGTTATTTTTGGCGAGATAACCATGCCCGAAATTGACAATGGTAATTTCGACTAACAAAGGATAGCATATTGGGCCCAGGGAACACAAACACAAAAAACGTAACTAGGTATATTAAAGTAACCCTAGTTCTTAAGGTTAACTTAATTTTTTTTAATACAATGTATGATCATCTTAAACAAAAAACGAAAGCTTAATGTCAAATCAAAATAAAAATAAAAACATATTACCTAAATGATGTTTGATTTCATGATTACATTTATGTTAAAATGTATTAATAACTGATCCAAATGAAGCGGCCATGAAGCTCATTGAGACGCTTCAAGATCTGGCAAGGCATCATACAAGCACGATCACTCATACCAGACGAAGAAGACCAATTAAGCCGTGGATTACGGTGGAGCTGTTAAAACAATTTCAAAAAAGGGACAAAATGCATGCTCTGGTTAAAAAAAGGCCAAATGATATAGAAACTAGAGATGCATATGTGAAATATCGGAACCAGTGTAATGACCGTGCCAAATTCCTAAAAATACAGTACTTTAGAGATAAATTTAATAAAAACTACAAGAATAATAAAGGCACGTGGGAAACAGTAAAAGAGATATGCAATATTAAAATAAATTGTACCGAAGCTACACCGCTGCTGAAAACCCAAAAGACACCCCTAGAGTCGGTGAATGCTGTTAATGACTACTTCACGTCTGTTGGCCGTAATCTAGCCAATGAAATTTTAGCTAAGACTAACACAACTATATCACAATGTACAAATAACACTAAATCTAATTCTGAAAATCCACACTCCATGAACCTTACTCCGACTGACTTCCTAGAGATTGACAAGATTATACGTAACCTAAAGAATAACTCAGCTCCTGGCATTGATCATATCTCCGCTACTATCTTGAAAAAATCGCATTACATCCTATGCTCTATGATAGCCCACCTATGCAATTTGAGTATTTCGACCGGAATATTCCCTACGGTCTTCAAAAAAGCGGTTGTTATTCCAATATACAAAGGCGGTGACAAAGAAACCAGTTCAAACTATCGCCCTATATCACTGCTGAGCACGGTTAGCAAGGTAATTGAGAAGGTGGTAAATCAGAGACTCACAAGCTATCTTGAAAACAATCACCTACTGGCCAATAACCAATTCGGATTCCGAAAAAATAAAAGTACGGAAGATGCCGTAGCTACCCTCTCGGCAAAGATAACGGAACACCTGGATAAAAAAGACCGATGTGTTGGAATATTTCTTGATCTAAGGAAAGCTTTTGATACTGTGTCTATTCCAATACTCCTGACAAGAATGGAGAACCTAGGTATCAGAGGAATTGTTTTGGAGTGGTTTGAGAGCTATCTGTTGGAGAGGACCCAAGTGGTCAAAATCGGTGACACATACAGCGATGTCTATTACAATAGCTACGGAATTCCACAAGGTAGTACGTTGGGTCCTACCCTCTTTCTCATATATGCTAACGAACTTTGCAAGATCAAACTGGAAAATGGATGCTCACTAGCTTTTGCCGATGATACAGTCCTCATATTTAGAGGCAATTGTTGGACAGAAGTTAAAAGATATGCGGAAATTGGAATCAGGAGAGTCACGAAATGGTTAGATGAGAATTTATTGTCATTGAATATAGCAAAAACAAAATACATCTGCTTTAGTATCAGCCACAAATCTAATCCACCCGCGCAATACAAAATAAAGGCCCACGAACAACTGTGCTTTAATGACAATAACTGTAGCTGCGACTCTCTGGAACAAACTAACACCCACAAATACCTCGGTATCATCATAGACCAACATTTATCTTGGCACCCATATATTGTGTCCCTCAGTAAAAGGGTACGAAAACTCCTTCCAGTTTTTCGGAATCTTCGCGAGGCAGCTGACAGGGACTTGATCCGAAAAGTATATTTTGCTCTCTGTCAAAGTATACTCAGCTACTGCATTCCGGTATGGGGCGGAGCTGCTACATCTCATCTGTTAGAGGTAGAAAGAGCACAACGAGCTATTCTCAAGGTAATGCTATGCAAAAAACGCAGATTTCCTACAGAGCTACTATACCAAGAGACTGAGTTACTGACGGTACGACAACTATATGTATATAACACAATCTTGAGACAACATAAACTTGTTAACCCAGCCAAAGTACCCCCAGATAAACGCCGTGTTAAAATCCCCACCCCCAATTCAGCTACTAGTTTTGCGCAAAAGCAACTAAACTACAGGGGACCTTATCTTTATAACTTGTTTAATAAATACGAGTCTATCTACACCAAAAATAGAAGATCACTAAAAACTATAATCTCAAATAAACTAAAATGTCTTAACTATAATAGCACCGAAAACCTTTTAAGGATAAGGGAATGAAGAGAAAAATTGAAATAAAAAAAATAAAAAACTTAGGTAGCTACCCATTATTTTTTTTTCTCAATCTACAATATACAACGAAATAAAATCTAATAACTTTATTATTATTATTATTTTTTTTTTTTACTCTGTATGCTTTGTCCGCTAGAGGGCGCCACATTAAATTTTGTGAAACCCCATTATAGCCTATAACCAGCGGACAATTAAGACGCTTCTAATGATATGTCATTTGTCGAATTCTGATAAGTAGTTTAGAAGTTACGAGGGAACAGATGAACATACATACATACATACATACATACATGCACACATGCATACATGAATATATGCATACATGCATACATACATACATAGCATGTCAAAATCATAACCCTTCTTTTGTTTTGCCGTAGTCGGGTAAAAATCGCTGTCGCTTAGGCCATATCCCATACCACATGTCGCGCGCTCACAATCATGCTCACACGCACGTCACTAAAAATATCGTGCTGATTTTCTCGCACCCGTAGTAACGAGCGCATCACTGGACACCTACCGTCTCCTTCGCACAATCACCCGCGCACGATACTCACACTAATACACTACGCATTATCTCTGCATTACGCACAGCGCTGCACTGAGGACTACTTCCGAAATAGTTTAGTTTAGTGTACGTACCCACATAATAAATGTAAATCAGTAACTTTTATGAGGTGGAGGGCTGACTACTTGAGATACAGGTGTCATTACCTAGTTCAGGTGTCAGCCCACCATAGCCAATATTTTACTGTATACTAGCATAATTATTTTTTGTAATGAACCTTGTTTGTATACGGTTATGGTGAGAAATAAACGATTATTATTATTATATTTGTACGCTTTGGAGCTCACGGGTCAAAAGTGGCCCGGTCCTTTATAAGGCTTGCGTGGGGATACAGATCCAACACGTAGAGGCCGTTTTAAGCGCAAAATAATAATAATAATTATTATTATTATTATTATTATTATTATTATTATNTATTATTATTATTATTATTATTATTATTATTATTATTATTATTATTATTTGTAATTTGCTGACCTTTTTTGTGTATTTTATGTATTTTTTTAGTATCGCCTGTTATTTAGCATAATTACTGTTTTTATTTTATCAGGATATACCGCTTAGTTTAAAAGTTATTACGTTTTCTTTACAATAAGTAATTGGAAGAAAAAAAATTCTATAAAAAATTAAAAAAAAATCTCAAAAATTTTTTGACCTCTTTTTTGTCGATAAAAATAGGTCTAGTTTCATCTATTTTCATATGTACACTTTAACGTGACTCACACTGTATATAAAAAAAACTTAAATAAAGTCAATAATGAAAAAAGCACCAAAAATATTGCCATGAAAAAGTGAAAATCTACAATTTAACCTTTTTAATTCACATATTGCAGATTTTAAATTTGTGCTAGCTTCTCAATGCAATGCCCCAGTGAACTTTCTTGGTCGGCCAATTCGCGTATAATTTTTTCAATCTTTATCTGTCTTAATTTGGCTTCTTCACTCCTTTTTGTGATATAACTATTTTTTTTCCAAATGGTGAAATAATAGTTGGTGTCTTTTTGTAGTGCATTCATAAACACTGCGATATTTGGCTTTGCTTTAATTTTTTTATTCAATCTCGAATTCCATGATTCTGTGACGTTATTTGTTTTGTACTTGGCATCGTAAAAACACCATTTATCAGACAGGGAAGATTTAGAGCTCAGCCAAGTGTTTTCAAAATAATTATTGAAATTTAAGACTTTTGTGTTTTTACTAACCATTTCACCGAGAATGTATAGCCAGCCATCTGCTACAAATTGGGTGGGTAAATAAGAAAGCGCCATGCATTGTCGGACATGACACTTCCACAATTTTGATTTATTGATGTCATTTTTTTTTGCATTTCTCAAAACAGCTTGTTTAAAATGAAACAGGCACCCTTGAGATTTTGCATTTGGAAATACATTCTTCACTGCATTCATTGCACTGATTTCAAAGTCAGTTGTAACTTTTTCAGGTTCAAGTTCCGGTACTTGACTTTTACAAAGTCTAAATAATGTTTCGTAGGTAGGTACTTTGTTTTTTATCTGGTAGGAGAGCATAAACTGTAGGTATGATATTCATATCATTATCATTAGTACTTCCCAAGTCTACGTGTATTGTGTAAATTTGATTAAAAGGAGGAACAGCGCACTTAAACGTTCCATCGCAATATATTTCTTTAGCATGCCGCAATACCTCTCTGCCTTCTTTGCTACAAAACACTAGTATTCTAGTACTTTTTTCGTAATAGTCAGCAAATAACAAGTCCTTGAATTTTCCGGGAATACACACGTCTTTTAATTGAAAAAAACGTATTTTTTTTGTTTCCAGTGATTTATTCCGATGTTTATAAAGAGTTTTTTTATATTATTAAAATCTGGCATTTTCTTTAATGATTCGTGATCAGCACATTTCATTTCTTCAATTACATCGGAATATACAGTGTGTCCGGGCATGTAGTGATCAAACTTTAAGGGCGTAATCTATGGACAATTTTATCGATGAAAATACTTCAAATTTGGCGCCTGACCCATTTCTCGAAAAATTACATCGATTTAAGTTTTTGATTTTTAGTTTACACCTCTTCTTTAAAAAACAAGTGAAAGCGTGGGTATCTTAACTTTAATAGGCAAATATTTTATATCATGCGATAGCCAATAACATTATCTATTAGTAGAAGAAGAAAACAGACACAAGTTTCATACATTTTATGGGAGTAAGAATGAATTTAATTAGAAAAATACATTACTTTTTTCACTTCTTTTTCAGTTATTTTCCAACACAAGAAAAAACAGGTCGTTAAGGTATGTTTTATTTGCATTGTATTATTAGTATTTCAGCTATTCTACAAAACGAATGTAAATTTATTAGTCCACGTCTATTAGTTTCGACGTAATTGTTGAACAAAGATATCCCTTCCCAGCGGTTTCCATAGTAATCGGAATAGGTTGTGTGATTCTTTCAAGCAGTACATTTTCGCATGTCGCGTGCGCTATGGAAACCGCTGGGAAGGGGTATCTTTGTTCAACAATTACGTCGAAACTAATAGACGTAGACTAATAAATTTACATTCGTTTTGTAGAAGAGCTCAAATACTAATAATACAATGCAAATAAAACATACCTTAACGACCTGGTTTTTCTTGTGTTGGAAAATAACTGAAAAAGAAGTGAAAAAAGTAATGTATTTTTCTAATTAAATTCATTCTTACTCCCATAAAATGTATGAAACTTGTGTCTGTTTTCTTCTTCTACTAATAGATAATGTTATTAGCTATCGCATGATATAAAATACTTGCCTATTAATGTTAAGCTACCCACGCTTTCACTTGTTTTTTAAAGAAGAGGTGTAAACTAAAAATCAAAAACTTAAATCGATGTAATTTTTCGAGAAATGGGTCAGGCCCCAAATTTGAAGTATTTTCATCGATAAAATTGTCCGTAGATTACGCCTTTAAAGTTTGATCACTACATGCCCGGACACACTGTATTGTTGGCATTGGTGTAATTTCATTACGTGCTCTCTCTAAGCAAACATTCAGTTTCTCTTGTACTATATTATTGGACTTATCAGGGTTACAAGTATGTAACTCTTCTTTTATTATAATAGAATTATCATTCGCTACTAACTTTGCAGAGCAACATTTTCTCGACGCACAACGCCAGGTTGTATGTCTATTATATTTGTAGCCATTGCACAAAAGTATCCGTCCTCCTCTTTGCGAAGGAATTATATTTAACTTATGACCCCTGCTAGTTGAGGGTTCCGAACTCATGGCTAAAACGATATAAAAGAGAAAAGTTTACTAAAAATTTCAAAAAACTGTATTGAAAAAAAAAAACAACTAGTATACCTAATCTAAAATAGTTCCATACATAAATGTACCGTTTTATGATCCATAGGTAAGTTGTACTCGTACATATTATATTTAATTTTATCGCGCTTTTTAGTTGAGTTACCTCATTACTAGGGAAAACAATACATCAAATTAATCATGATACCTACGAGTTTTCATTGCAATTTTTAGGTAAGGAACCAAGAAAGTAAGATAAAAACTTTGAGTATTCTTACCTAGAAAGTGTGCCACCAAAACCAAATCAGTAGTATTTCAGTCAGATCACGGAAATGTATAATGAATAATATTAATTACGATTAGTACCTACTTAATATAAACAAACTTGAATCTTTTATAAACCAAATATTGTGACTGCTAATAGCATCTTTAAGAATGAAATAAATGCAATGGAATTTTAATAAAATATTTCCAATTACCCTCAAAGGCAAAATAGTTTTTTAATTATAGTTAAAACAGATATCTCCGTGTACTGCTACTAGATGGCACCACGATTTTACCAAAATAGAATTTTATCATTTCAACTAAAATATTGACATTAATCTTCCGTTTTTTGTTTAAGATGATCATAGACATTGTATTAAAAAACATTAAGTTACCTTTGAACTAGGGTTACTTTAATATACCTAGTTACGTTTTTTGTGTTTGTGTTCCCTGGGCCCAATATGCTATCCTTTGTTAGTCGAAATTACCATTGTCAATTTCGGGCATGGTTATCTCGCCAAAAATAACTAAAACTTATGGCGAGTTAACCATCAAAGAAATTATAAGTGGTAAACTCGCCAATGGACGAGTTTTTAGATTGGCGAGTTGACACATAAGCCG